TGTGAGAGATGATTTAAAAGCAGAGTTAATCTGGGCGGATCCTGAAGGAAGAACCCTGGTGGTACAAACTTCAATTAATGGCATTACATTTTTACTGGTAGTAATCTATGCCCCAAATGATGATCAAGGTAAATTTTTCAAACATCTTCACCAAAAAATAATAGATTTCGGAAATGGCAATATTTTTCTGATTGGCGATTTTAACTCTATTGCTGACTACCGGAAGGATCATAGTAACATGAGTAAGAATAAAAAAGGAAAAAGAGAATTTTCGAAGCCATGTAAGGATATGATGTACGAACTGAATCTGGTAGATATTTGGAGAAAACTAAACCCAAAAAAAGAACAGTTTACCTTTTACTCTAACCCACACAAAATTTGGACAAGAATAGATATGGCTTGGATAAATGGTGAATTAATTAATGAAATCAAAGATAGCGAAATCTTACCAAATGACTGGGCTGATCACAACCCAATTCAAATAACCTGGAGAGGTAGAAGAAAACCAAAAAGAAGATGGACTCTTAACACTCACTTAATAAAAGAAGAAGAATACACTAATAAATTGAAAGAAGAACTGAACTTCTTCTTAAAAGAAAATAATAATGATCTAACTTCGAAACAAAATATATGGGACACAATGAAGGCATTTATAAGAGGAACAACTATCTCTTACAATGCTATGAGAAATAAAAGAAAGTATGCCCAACAAAGTAACTTACAACAAGAAATTAAGGATTTAGAAACCCAACTACAAAAGAACCCCAAAAATCAAAGAATACAGAATCAGTTAATAACAACTAAACACAATCTAAATTTATTGGAACAAGAAAAATTAGAGAGTAGTCTGAAAATGACTAAACAAATTTATTTTGAGCACGCAAACAAGCCAGGGAGATGGTTAGCCCACAAACTTAAGAAAATGAAAGAAAAAAGATTGATACACCAATTAATGGACGAGAGGGGCAATTTGCAAGAGGAGATAGAGAAGAAAAAAGAGATCACTTTTAAATACTTCAGGAAATTATACAAAAAGGAAGACGTTTGTGAGGACAAAATAATGAAATATCTAGAGGAAGCAAATGAAAAAGCAATTGGAGAGGAAGAGATAGAATTATTAAACAAAAATATAACATGGTCCGAACTGAAGTCAGCAATAGAGAAGCAAAGTAACAATAAAGCGCCAGGACCGGATGGGATACCTGTAGAACTTTACAAAACAATTATAGAACAAATTGGACCACTGATGCTGGAAGTATTCAATGAGGTACTCCTAGTAGCCAAGATGCCGGACTCGTGGAGGGGAGCCTTAATTTCGCTGATCCCGAAGGAGGACCTAGACCATAGACTTATTAATAATTATAGACCAATCTTGCTCCTGGATGCAGATTACAAACTATTCTCTTCTATAATAGCTAATAGACTAAAACAGGTTCTAAACACACATATCCATGAAGATCAAAATGGATTTCTCCCATTTCGACAAATTAAGAATAATCTAAGAACAGTGATAGACATTTCAGAATACTACGAAGCCCATCCGGAAAAACAATTTGCTTTTATGTTTTTGGACGCTGAAAAAGCATTCGACAATTTAAATTGGCATTTTTTAATTCAAAAAATATACAATATGAACCTTGGCACTAGATTCGAAAACGTCGTCACTACAATTTACCATACCCAACAGGCAAATATTCTAATAAATGGGGAACAAACTGACCCGATAAAAATAGAAAAAGGGGTCAGACAGGGTTGCCCTCTCTCTCCTCTGCTTTTCATATTCGCCCTAGAATCTCTTTTGACGTATATTAGGCAAAATTCGAGAATTAGAGGACTGAGGATTAAATCAGAAGAGTACAAAGTACAAGCCTTCGCTGATGATTTGGTTTTTTTTCTGGAGGAGCCTATAGAAAAAGGACATAACTTATTAGAAGAACTAGAACGATTTGGAGAAGTCGCAGGATTTAAAATTAATAGGGGTAAAACGAAATTAATGTCTAAAAATTTAACAGGAGACCAGAATAAAGAACTAGAGACAATAATGGGAATACAGGTGACAAAAAAAATTAAATACTTAGGAATTTGGCTTACTCCACAAAGCAAATCATTAAAAGAAAACAACTATGACAAACTTCTCCAACAATCCAAGAAAGATTTAGATTCCTGGAGTACATTACAACTTTCCTTATTGGCAGGATTGCTCTGATTAAGATGAATATTCTGCCAAAATTTCTATATCTATTCCAGACAATTCCAATCAAATTAAATAAAAAAATTTTTACGGAATTAAACAAGATAACACTGAAATTTATTTGGCAGGGGAAAAAAGCTAGGATTAATGTAAAAGCCCTACAAGATTTGAAAAGCAGAGGAGGGTTAGGCCTGCCAAACTGGGAAGTATATTACAAGGCAGCCACCCTACTATGGATAAAGGAATGGGTGAATTTAACTAACAAAAGAACACTAATATTAGAAGGCCACGATATGCAGAAAGGATGGCATGCCTTTCTGTGGGAAACTGGGAAACCCAGGCAATCATATTTCCATAGGCATCTTATCAGGGACTCTCTATTAACCAATTGGAAAAAAGTACGTAAAAAACTTTATCTAAAAATACCGATTTGGCTATCTCCAATGGAAGCGATAGTACACCCTAATAATTTGGATATAACTAAAATGATTAAGTACGAAAATTTATTAGACCCACAAGGAAAATTGAAAACCCGACAAGAATTACAAGAGCGAGGATTTAAAATTGATCAGTGGGTGTACCTTCAAATTCATAGTAGATATAAACAAGATATTAAGGAATTTGGAATCTACAATAAATTACAGACTTTAGACAAAATTCTATTAGGACCGAGCAAAAAAAATATATCTAAATTTTACAAACATTTATTAGAAACTGAATTAGAACAAGAAATTGTCAAAGGAAATATGATTGCGTGGAGCAGAAACGTGGGACGGAGCATTACGCTAGCAGAATGGGAAAGGATCTGGAACAGGAACATTAAGATCACGAAATCAGCAGCTTATAAAGAAAACGCATATAAAATGTTTTATAGATGGCACCTGCCCCCTTCGAGATTGGCGAAGATGCACCCCAACACGAGCCCCAATTGTTGGAAATGTCAAAGCATAGAAGGTACCTTCTTCCATTTGTGGTGGTCGTGCAAGGAAACCCAGAAGTACTGGCAAAAAATTAGGCGCTGGCTAGAGGAAATAACCAAGGAACAAATAGAGTACAAACCAGAGTCCTTCCTTCTAGGAATTTTCGATAAACAAATACCCAAAAAATCGAAGTATATTGTAATTCATATCTTAACCGCAGCCAGACTGGCATTTGCCCAGTGCTGGAAATTATCTTCCATTCCCTCTGAACATATGGTTATTCAGAAAATTTTACAATGCGCCGAAATGGACAAACTAACCCAAGCACTAAAAAATAAAGAATCCTCGTCATATTACAACAATTGGAATCCTTTGTATAATTGGCTAAACCAAAGATAGATCATCTCTAGGAAAATGATGGCCGAGGGCCTCCGAAGCAGAGATAAAGAAAAGCACCGCCGATGATACTTTTGAAGAAGAAAGGATCTTACAGACAGTCACAAAATATGGTTTTATTTTAACTGTTTTCCCTACTCTATTCTTCCCCTCCCTTACTCTTCCCTTTCCCCTCTCTTAGGCTTTCCTCTCTCTCCCTCTTGGTCTATGCCAAGGCCTATTTTTCTTTTTGTTGTACATAATTTGTAGTTGTGTTGTTCTTTTAAAGGTAAAACTAATAAAGTATTTTTCCAAAAAAAAAAAAAAAAAGAAGCGCCATCACCACAGCACCTCCACCGCCTCTGCCCACTTCCTTTCATTTTGCTACCGCTGCCACCTCTGCCACTTTAACCAGGAGCAAAATGAAAGGAAGAGGGCAGAAGCAGCCAGGTCTGCCGCCTCCGCCCGCTTCCTTTCATTTTGCTGCTGCCACCACCACCATTTTTTTCACCATGTCTATGTATACATTTGAACTAGACTGTGATGTTTCTCTGTGTCATATGAGTGTGTGTGTGTGTGCGTGTGTGTGTGTGTGTGTGCGTGCATGCATGGTGTATGCATAATGGTTATCTGTTGAGAGCTGAATGCAACAAAATTTCATTTTAATGTATGCTGATTAATGGATGAGTATTGACAAATGATTATTGTCACTTAACTTGACAGTAAAGTTTAATTTCATTTCTATCCTACTCCATTCCATTCCTTGCTTATCCAGCCCCTCTGGCCTCTGCTGTAAAAGGCGGAGAAGATGCAGGAAGAAGATTTCAGCTCAGAGAACATCTGCTCATCTCAGGTGGACCTTTGGATTGATACCAGAGTCAAACTTAAGCCAAAGAGCAAGTTTCCCTTGAGAACTCATTTGATTTTCACAATTGTTCCCCCATTTCTTTGCAAATCAGTGCTCTGAGAAATCCCCAAAGCACCATTTTCAGATCCTGAGGCCTTAATTGAGATAAATGTATATCTAAAAGTCTACAAAGAATAAATGCTGCATATCCATCACCTGAGTGAGGTGATGAGTGAGACCACACCTCCGAGGGACCCTGCTTGATTTCTTACTTTCTTGCTCCTCATGCTCTCACCCCTTGCCAGAAAAAGTTATTCTGCTCTTCTAGCACCACTTTTCCCCCTACCAGGAATGTTATTTCCAGAATCCCTGGCTCAGGTGGCTTAATTGCCACCTGCTTTGCAAAGTTAGAGAAAGGCTGCAAATTCCTTTCTCTGGCAACATTTGCTTCCTCTTTTATCCACAGAACTGATTGCACCAATTTTTTTTTTACTGTTATGTCATCATTTCTCAGATATGAACCATGAATTTTATTTCCAGCAAATCTCCACCCTCTCCACAACCAATAAAAATAAACATGAGAAATTCTGCCTCTCAGCATGGAGCTAGGGAGGTGCACAAGCTACCCCAACTACTATTGCTTCTCTCATTTGATCCAAGAGCAAAGATGAACAGCTCCATGGCTACTCTCGCCATCTTCCTGGTTGCTGCTATGTTCTTATCCCAAGCTCAGGCTCAGTTTGGTAAGACTGCTTTTTCTTCTCTTTTTCAGCATCCCACCTGCATTCTGAGGGCAGTTAGGTGGCTCATGGTTAAAATGCTGGACTTGTTGGCCGAAAAGCCAGCAGCTTAGGTTTGAGACCCGAGCACTGAAGTAATGGGGTGAGTTCCCACCCTTGCTGCAGCTGTTGCCAATCTAGCTGTTCGAGAGCATGTAAATAAATAGGTACCACTTTGGTGGGGAGGTAATAGTGCTCTGTGATGTCATGTTGGCCACAGACTGCAGAAATGTCTTCAAACAGTGCTGGCTAAATAGCTTTGAAATGGACATGAGTATCATCCCTACAGATGGCAATGACTAACAGAGTAAAATCCTCAGGGACTCCTTTACCTTTTACCTACATTCAGAGTTATAACCCTTGCCATCTAGGACCGTCCCTGTCCTATTGTTTGTTTTTTTTTCTTATATGTATCCATGTATTCATAACTATGTTTTTACTTATACCTATTATCTTGTAAGCAATTGACAAAGCAGATAAATAAATAAATAAATAAATAAATAAATAAATAAACAAACAAACAAATAAATAAAATATTGGAATGGGTTCTAGGTTTTGCTGAACCATCTCTCCTGAAAATGCAACAAACAATAAGGATAGTTAGGGACAGCCAATGCTGCTCAGGGTGTAAAGTACAACCTCATTTGAAAAGGAAGCTCTGCAGAAGAATTAAGCCATTTGCTTGAGCTGAATTCAAGATGAGGAGGAGAGAGCAACACCCTATCCCAACCACCAGAAGGTGTATGTGGAGAGAATGGACTCTTCCTTTCAGGATTCAAATGGAAATAGGGTGGATGGATATATAACATTTGTCCTTTTTTTACTCTGAAATGTTTTTACAATTATCATAAGCCATTTATTTCAAGGATTTGGGGGGAATACAGTATCAGTTGTAGGCAGTTCAAGGTAGAATTTTTACGAGTTAGTGCTTTGGGGCTCACATAGTCACTATCTAGCTGTAATAGATACATACTAGTAAGAATCCATTCTTTCAGTCTGTTGTTTTGACTACGTAAAGCGGCCTCTTCCAGAGAAGATCCTGAAGTCCTTTGAAGAAACAGAAGGAAGGTGTTCCAGGCCAGCTGTCATGTAAGTACTAAAAAAAAATCTATCAACTCCTAAGTGATTCCTGAATATGTTAAATGTGAGGTTGGTTGCCCTTGAAACATCTAGTATCTTTGTGTGGCCTTTATGGAAAAGTGCATTAGCCATAATCATCACATTTCCCTATATTGACTTTATGTGAATTTAATTTAAATGTAAAATTAGTTGCGGTCCTTGTGGGTAGGCATTCCCACCCAACATATCACAATGAGGACAGAGAGTCAGGAAAAAAAAACTATTCATTTTTTGCAATAAACATTAATAAAGAAGTTGGGGTTTAAACTGCAAGGCCTTTGGTTGCTAACTTGATTTATTTGTCACCCCTGCCCTGCAAATATTCTTATACCAAAATCTAAAGTTATCTCCCTCTTGAAAGGGCCTGGGGTTTGGTTCAACATTTCGATTCACAATTTTCAGACAAATCAGTCCTTTAGCATAAATAACTGAAAGATTTAGTGGACATCTGTCCATGCACCTCCTTTTATGAAATCAGTTGGGAATAAGAGGTCCTTGAGGGTAACTGATGGGAGAGGCTCTGCCCCCTTGAAAACTGAGTGTGATGCCAATTGTAGAGAATTGCTTTCTTTCCAGCTTGTGATTAAAATATGCATGTGTATGTCTCTTCTGCAGATTTATTACACATAAGAATCGTCGGATATGTGCAGATCCCAGTGAACAATGGGTCCAAGATCGTATACAATATTTGTCCCAAAAGTGACAACCTCCCAGCTCCTTCATATTCGCCTGGAGAAGCCCCAAGAACTCAAACCTTTTAAAGTGCTTCGGATGTGGAAAAAAAGAACATGCGTGGCTCTTATTCTGACTTTGAACACTCCTTACTTAAAACTTCATTGATGGAAGATGAAATAATGTATTTTATTTAAATTATGGACAAATATGTTATGTATTTGATATTATTATTTTTGAAAAGAAAAAGTTCATTTGTCTAAAGGTTCTGAGAAATATTTGACAGAAATATAACGTATGAATAAATCTCCATAAATGTCTCTGATTGTCTATATTTGAAATCTTTTCCGAGAGCTCCTTCAGGTTACACAACAATTCTTATTTCATTGAAAGATTGACCTGGACTGTCTGGGTTCTGGCTCTTCTCCTACCCTGGGAATGGGGATTCTTGGACTGTCCATCTGCTCCTGAACCACCATTCACAACATCCCTCCTTTTCAGACCTCAAAGACTGATGTCAATCTTGCAAGGTAGACTAGACAGGAAACAAAGTGAGATGAACTAATTTTACTTTATTGTAAGATTCTATTAACAGAATCTTGAAAATCTGAAAGTATCTTTCTCTCCCATTCCCTTATACAGTCTAAGGAACTAGGGATGGCCCCTCCTGAGTCCCTTGCCCTACTCATATTCCTGCTGTGGGCTAAATTGCCTGTTATCTGCCTCTGTTTGCCCTGACTCTGAAGGTCATTCCCACACAGACCATTATACCCTCCGTTGACTCTGCTGCTGGTGTACTGGAATGTATGAGACAGGGAAGTAGCAGCATGCAAAGTGGAGATACTCTGTATTCAGAGTAAAGCCTTCAAAAGCAACGTGGAAGCAGGAGTGAAAGCTGTTGAGGTAATTCCCCGTTAGAAGAATGAGCGCATACAGGGAGACGTATTTGAGAGTAGTGTTTGAATAATACACACACACAGCACACAGATACACTGTACAGTAAATGTCGGTTTTTTACTTCCAGAAAGTTTAAGCAAAGTTCAAAATAAGCAATCCAAAAGTCATTCACAGGTAAATCAGTCAGTTTTCAATCCAGAGATAATCCAATTAGAAAGTCCAGTGTCAAAAACAGTTCAGTATCAGACTTACATCAAATCCAGTAATATCAGTCAATTAGAAGGAATGTCAATACTCTCCAACAGAAGGAAAAACAGAGACTTACCCAGACACACTCTCTTCTGAGACTAAGACTAAGACAAAACAACCCAGATTTCTGGCTCCATCTTATGGCAGTTTGAGAAACCACACCCAATTACAGTTTTTTGCATTTTCAGTTTTAAAATGTTTATCCTGGTTTATATATTTCTAACCCAAATACCTCTTAGGTGACTTATATTC